TTTTAACCTGCCAGACAAAGTGGTTTTCAACCACAAATAGGTAATGTGAACAAATAAAGGACACGCTACACAGATTTGATTTTTATCTATTAAAGTCATGCCAGAGGGAGGAGCAGCTGGTTGTGCCTCATTGTACAGGCAAGTGCAGGTGAGTGTTCCTGCAGCAGTGTGACAGCACCACAGTCTGTGTGAGGCTGTGCCTTGGTGCACATGTGCACCAAACAGTGGGATGACTGTCAGCCACAGTCACCCTGGGGAATACCATGGCTTTGTTTACCCCAATATGCCAAGGCCAGGGGAGTCTTCAGCCCCAGGAATTAATGTCCTGGAGGGCACAACTGACCTTTATGAGTCTGCAGATCCCAAAAATCATTCTCTGTTAGGGTCTGTTATGGTGAAGTGAGTTTAAGCCTATCAGCAAGGTCCCACACATCCAGAACCAGCCAGAACCACAGGCTGGGGAGGCTCAGGGCAGGGAGTGTTCAGGACCAGAACACCTGCAAATCTGTGCCCGTGGGGAGCTCAGACTCCTCCCGCACCATGTCCTGGTAGGTGTAGGATGCCAAGTTGGAACTGCACATTATCTGTGGCATCAGGCTCATTGTGGGAGGTAGAAACAAACACTTGTTGCATGGATCTCTGTCAGATAGAATCTTCCTCCTCCCTTCTCGTGTCAGATCAAAGGCACAGACCCTGGGTCCTGATTTAGGGGCCAGCAGTGCTCACTGCCAGCTCAACCTGTCCCAACTCAGGGTCCGTGCACTGGGGTGTTCTGCTGACCACACCTCTCCCCAGCAGTGTCTGTTCTGGGCACGAATGCCAGCACAGGACAGCACCACAGAGCCCTGGACAGCTCTGGGAGCTGGAGGGAGTGAGAGGGAAGGAGAAACCAGGCAAGATAAAGCTCTGTCTCCCCTCACAGGTGCCTGGACCGAGTGCGGCTCGCGGACGGTGCTGTCCTAGCAGGCCAAACACACTGAGAGGGACAGTATTTGGGAACAACCCATTCTTTATTTGCTACCAATGTAAACATCTCTACTCCACAGACAGCACAGTTCACGTTATTGCTTTCATACCGTGGTAAACAGGAATTCCTACTAGTACAGCTACATAAGCACAGGGTGGTAAGGACAGACCCCACACTCCCTGGGCTGGGATGGTTCAACTCCCTTGTGCAAGGCAGGACCTGGGCCGGCACAGGAAACATCAGCCCAAAGATTGGTCACCATTGTACTACAGCAACACAAACCAGTGTGACAAGGAAACCACAGGTTACACCTTCACCACACGTTCACGCGCAGTGTTCGCAGGAAAACTGCTCAACTCCCACCTAAATACAAACCTTCCCATAGTGAGATCCTACAACAAGGCTAAGGAATCCCTCTGTAAAATGCTACTTAAACAGGGATGGGAAATCTGGGGAACCAATGCTTGGGGCTTTGTCTGTGGTTTTTGTTCTGCTTCTCAAAGAGTGAAAATCCAAACCTGTTTATCTGAGGTGTTAACTTGGCCCCTTTTCCTGTTGAGCCTTGGGACAAAATGCCTATTCCTTACAAAGCTGGATCAGGTGACAGAAGCACAACCAGTTCCAAAACACTCTCAGTTTCTTCCCTCCTGTCTTCAGGTCAGGTTGGTTCCTGGTGAAGCAACATGTTTGCCCAGTGGAAGACTAAATTTCACTCTCACTTGTGAACTTCCACTTATCTGCAGATAAATCTGTTCCTAGAGGAGCACCACGTTCCCAACAGATACTGAACAAGACAAGTGGAGGTAGTTTGTTCAAGTTTGTTGCTACAGGAACAACAACAAATGCAGAGAACCACCTTGTTTCAGTTGGGAATCCCTACATGGCTACTGCCACAAGGTCCCCGGGCCCAGCGCTGCGGAGGGGCAGGAGGTCAGAGAGCTAACAGCACCTGCAGGTCCTAACCAGGCACTATGTCCTTTAAAATGTGGTGGTTAATAAACAGGAAGAGAATTTACCAAGGTTTTAAGACTCTTAGAATAAACTGTGAGCAACAAACTCTGAGGGTGAACAAAGTGGTTATCTCAGCCTGCAGAAAGGACCTTTCTCCTGCCTCCATGTCCAGCCTTCCCCAGCTTGGGACCGGCACCCTACAACAGCCAGTGTGGAACAGCTGACAGGTAAAGCATTGCTCTTCCCCTTCCCAAACACAACTTCACCTCCTCCCACAGATCTTCTAGCTACCACCACAACACACCTAGCTACCACTGGTGTGAACAGGGACACCCAGTACTAGTCTACACACAGACAGAACTGCTGGGCTAGCTGATTGTACAGAACTACAATCAAATCCTAACCACGTACTGGGAATGTGAACTGGAGCCTCACATACACGTTCACCTTAACTACTACATGCAAACTAATGTATTCCCAGGTATCTCCCTCATCTGATGCTGGTTGGGGCACTTCCCCCTTGGATACTGCCAGAGTTTGCTCCCAGCTCACCTGTTGTTGGAAAGGAAAGCAAGCTAGCAGAGATGAGTTAAGCTCCATCTACTTCTACACTACATCTCAGGGGTGTGGCAGGACACCTGACACATAGTTGGCTCTGAAGGCTCAGCAGTGGTCAAGTGTCAGTCGCCCAGTGAAAGCTTCAGGCTGGAAAAACAAGGGTGCAGGTTACTTTTGTCACTGCTGCCAAACAGACCAAGCTTGCAGACCTGGCTGGGGAGAGTGTTTAGAGGTGGCTCAAGAATTCTGTTACTAGCTAGCAAGCACTAGATGAAATTAAAGAGCAGGATCTCCTTTCCTGCTGCTGCTAAACCTATCGAGGTCACCTCTGGAATTCAGTCGCTCTCGTGTTGCAAAGGTGAACTAGCAGTAGCAGTAGCCAAAGTTACTAACAAAGACAAACTCCACAGAAGCTGAGGCTGGAAACAACAGCCAGTAACCTCCTGGCCCTGGGAAGGTGTTCAGCTTCCTCCCTCAGGTTTCTGGCACATCCAGGCTCTACAAGAGTCAGAAAAACAGCTGCACTGCAGGACCTAAATGCCAGAACACTCTGCAGGGTCTCAGCTTTCGGTGGTGAGAACCAAGAAGCCAAGAGCCTGGCAGCACCTGGCAGCAGCAAAGAACTTCCCACGGTTAGTTTTGTGTCTCATCTGGTCAGTTTGGAATCTAATCTAGTACTTTACAAGCCAGGGCATAACTGTAAATGCTCTTCCCATCAGCATCTTCACAGTGCTGTGGTTTCAGCAGAACAGCAGCAGCCCAGTACAGGAGGGATGGACACAGGGAGATGGACCCTTCTCCACCCTGCACACCTGAAACTTGATCTTGTCTACACCTCAGACAACAGACCTGTGTTACCTCCTACACGTGCACTGTCTACCCTGATCAGGAGCTTTCCCACGAGGAAGAGATCATCAGCACTGAAGGGATCAGGAGCAGGTGGGAGGGCACAGTGCAGCACAGACTCACACAGGTGCTGAGGTGGGAAAGCACTCAGGAGAGCACCAGGTCTGTTCCCCTGCCCGAAGCAGAGTCCCTCAGGGTTGGCTGCTTAGGGCCATGTCCAAATGGCTTTTGATGCTCTCCAAGAGATGCAGCATTACATATTATAACAATTTCATACCTCTGTAGTGTAACAACACTCATTACAAAAGGGTTTGTCTCTTTTTCTTCCTTCTTGTTCAACACTTGTATTCTTCAGGAATCTCTTCATGACTAGCCATTGACTAGGAGTTAACTGATTTACCTGAGACTGTTGAAACCAAAAGAAAAGGCATGAGAGCTTGTATCAGCACACAAACATTGTGCCACTGGGAGCTACCAGACTTGTTCTAAGACTGTGAGCTGGTTACAGCACCAAAACAAAAGACTGACTGGAAAAAGCAGAAGGCACTTGGTCAATAGTAGGTCCCAGAAAACAGTGATGGTCAGATCAAATCCATTACAGCTGCCCTAAGCAATAATCAGTCACGACACAGACATGAAGTCCTATCAACTAGATTGTCCAAGGATGGCAAGGTTAAGGAACAGCTGCATCCCCTCCATGGAAAGAATCTGCTAGAGACTTGAACTCGGGTGTGAGATCATTTCCACAAAACAAGGATTGCAGCTGCAATAAAGTTTTTCCTTTAAACTTTCTAAAAGGGCTAAACTAGCTCTTTTGTACCTCCCACTAAGAATATCCCTTAGCTGCTAACACACCAAGTCAATCATCCTGAGCATCCCAAGCTGGAGTAGA